CTAGGGTTCAGCGACTTGGGCTGCTGGTACGCCTAGCATTACAAAAGAGGTGTCTTGGTATAGTAAAGTGGCTAAGCGTTACCAGATGAGACCGCTAACAGCGCCACCTGGTGGAAAATGGCGGAGTTAGGGTTCCCTGTCTCGAAAATAGTACTAAATAGGAGAGAAAAAGGTTTGGTTTATTTGGTTTATTAGATTACAGCAGAGCACTCGAGGGCTATCTGCATTAAGGGAGGAATGCCTTTGTGGAGGACTTTTTAAGAGAACTGGCTCTTATAGACGTTACACATGGGGAAAAACACGAAAACACCCATGCAGCCAGCCCGTTCGCGGGATTTGAACTTCGCAGGACCGAACTACCAGTGTTCAGGGACGTTACCACTCGGCCGCTGGTGGGCGGAGATAAAAAGGAATTACAAAGTTGTAGAGCATCATCAATTTAGTAGGAGAAGACACCTCGTGGATATGAAAGTTAAGAATGGAACGTTTTAAACACACATTTGTTTGTTGGCGATTTGCTTCACTGTGACGTGATGAAAGGATCTTAGAAAGAAAAATAAACTAGTTACCACAAGATACCTTTATTCTGAGTTTTCAAACTACTTTCTGTCAGCTGAAACGCAGAACTGGATACTTCTCGTTGTAGCACTCGTTGCAGAAGCATTTGTAAAAAATCTTTGAAGGTCTGGCAATGTTTGTGAAGGGGTCACATACACCTGCTGTTTGAGCTTTCCCTACATTAAAACGTCCATTGGAGTCAGTCAGGTGAATGTGGAGGCCACTCTTTGAAATCACCATACCTGATTATTCGTTTTCCGAATTCCTCCATCAGGTACTGCTAACTGACGATCTGTTGATCTGACCATCATGTTGGAACCAACCATTCTGGAATCGAAGAAACGTCAGGTTCTCAACAAAGGTATTACGTCTTTCTGAATTTCTAAATATCATGCGGCCGTTGACGTACCCTGTTAAAATATTGGGCCGATTAGCCTGTTATTGTGAATTCCAGACATTAATCGAAAATCGTATCTGATGTCATGAATATGATGGATTTTTCCAGTTCCCAATAATAGATGTTTTGCCTATTGTACATTTCCATCCGCTAAAAGCATGACTCATCCGTCCACACTATGTCTGCCAATAATGTTGTCTGGAGTCTATTTGGTTCATGGCGAAGTTGTACCTTGCGAAAATTCTCTCGGAATCAACGTCCGGATGGGATGTTGGCCGGTATGGAATGATCACATATAAGGTATTTCTCCCGCCTTCTTAGCATGCTTTCGTAGTGATGAGCAAGCTGGGTGCGTAGTCCAGAGGTCCGTGGTTCGATTCACGGCGAAAGCGTTGCTTATTTTTCACTTCTTCTGCTTCCAAAATACTTAATGTCTTTACACACATAATTCGTTAAGGATTTTCCAAACGCGACATTTTTAGTCCACAATTTTCGCTTATCTCTCTTGTTTTGTTGTCCGGATATGTGAGGGCGTGTGATAAAAAGGGATGCGGGCGTGCAGGAAATCGTTGCCGATACAACCACGCTGCTGATCGTGCAGTGCGCCCACATTTAACCTAAAGCAGAATCATCTTACAAAAATTATTTAAATAATAATTTTTGAAAATCGCTCCATATCCGTGAGCTTCATCATACAACCCCGAGGAGTGTCTCTTTTATAGCTGTTTCAGGTGAACAGGTGTGACGCTTCATACTCTTTTTGCATAATGCCCACATTTCGTTCACTAAGACCAAACTGCATTGAGTTGGCGCGTTTTGCTACATAGTTGTGCATGATCTGCATATTATCTGCTCTATTTGTAAAGACAATCAGTATAACGATGCACACCGTGGGATTTCGGCCACAGTCTTCTCGATTGTCCTTTACAAGCCATACTACTGTGCCGCGGTGAGGGTTCGTTTTTCGTCCTTTTAAAGAGCGACTGCGCGACTGGTTTTCTCCTTTTTGTTCAAATTTTGTGACGGCACAGTTTCGGAAATCTCGAAGAAACAAATGTACTTTTTCAGCATAGCATTCTGCTTTTAAGCATGCATGTCCACAAGGTGTCTTTTCGTACTAAAACGATGATGCTCTACAACGTTATAATTCATTTCTATTTTATTCAACCTTATAATTCACTTCTATATTATATTCAACGTTATAGTTCACTTTCTATATCTATTTTACCTTATAATCCACCATTATGTTTTCACCTATTATAAGGGTTTTTATCCCCTCACTTCTTTCTGCATAACTTTGTGGTGAAACGGTAGCATACTCGGCACGCATTTGAGAGGTACAAGTTGGAGTTCCGGCGAGAGCATTTCTCATTTTTCGTGTCTTCTAAGTAACTTAATGACTCTACAGTGGCTCCCGAACTAAAAGGTGGTAGATAATCATGATTCTTCACTACCAGGATTTGGCTGATTGGGCCTCTAATCCCCAGTCGCCCTTTAAAAAAGGAGTAGCATATAAGGTTTTGTTCTTCCTCTTTTCTGCATGCCTTCGTAGTGTAACGGTAGCACACTCGGCGGGTGTTCGAGATTTCCAGGTTCGAGTACCGGCGAGGGTATTACTCATTTTTTGTGTCTTATGCTTCAAAGCGACCTAATGACTCTACACTGCCTCATAACGTTTTCAGGATAGGAACTCTAACTTACCGTTTTCTACCAGGCTGCGCTTTAAGCGGTCTCATTTAGTAGCGCATAGCCACTTTACTATACCTAGACACCACTTTTATGAATGTAGCTGCATCCGTTCGGCAGTTTAAACGGGAGGTACAGGCCTTTAGTTGGGCATGTGTATGTGTATAATAGTTATTATTATTTTATGTACGTGTTATTATGCATTCGGATAAAATTATGAACGTATTTCAAGGAAGGTTCATGTGGTTTACAAAAACGGTTATGTAAAATTTGTACACATGAAGAATTAGTCGTTTGTAAGGTTGTCATTGTTTTCGTAAAAACGTCTCATTCGTAAAGGAAGCATTCTGAAAGAGTAATCTAGCGGGTTTTGATTTCTTATTTAGTTTCTCAAATTACGTGTCTGAGCTTTTATCTCATATATCATACTCAGAATCTTAGACTGGATCTATTCCTCCTGTCTAGAGGTTCAAATTTCTTACTTAAAGTCTCAGGTTATGCATATCTTGCATAGATTTGTATTCTGTAAATAACAAGTGTACATCTATGAGCCGCCCAACAGGATAGCAGTTAGTGACTCTGTCTACCACATTGAAGGACATTGTTTGGAATTGCAGGGAAGGCATGGATCCTGTAAATGTATAATGCATTTGCGGTATGGGGGCATTCTAAATAGATGGCGAATCAAAAAGTCATTTGGTGTGTTTTCTTGGTAGGGAAGGAGAGTGAGAAAACATCGTACCGCTGTTCTTCAAAACTGGGATAGAACTGGCAAAATCTTACTGTTCTGTGGTGCGAAAAACGCAATCTTCTACTCGTTAGCGTGAGAAAATTCGTGTTTTTGTTCTGATTAGGTTAGAGAAGTAAGATTAGTCACAATAACATAGATTTACGATCATTTAAAATTTCGACTTAATAATAACCTAAAGACATATTTAATTGAAAAATAAGTATAATATTCATAGTATTGGGTGAATTTGAAAAGAGCTAATAATAGTAAAAATATTGATAACTAGAATCTCACATATATTTGAAAATTTTCTAGTATAATGCAAGTATTATTAGTTATTCTTCGATTATAATTTATTTAGCATTTTTACACTAGATTTTGGTAATGTAATTTTCTTATTTTAAGATAAATTTAAAAGATCCCATTTATAGTTAAAACTTACATTTACAATTAAAATCACACACACACACACATATATATTTAATTAATATAGTATATTTAAATACAGGGTGGCGCATGAAATGCCGTAACTTTTGTTTTGCTTATTACATTATTTATTAATCATCGAAATATTACAAAATAAATCCACTGTCAACTATGTGAGCATGGAATATGCGTTTAGTGTGCAATGTGCTCAATGAATAGTCATTTTTCTTCACAAATACTTACAAGCGAACCTTTGCATTTGTCACAACTCTCTAGTAAACGTCTTCCGAAGTTGCACGGTGCAATTCATGAGCCTCCATTTTCAGACTTCTCTGTGAAAATGTTTTATTTAAAAAAAATCCCATAAAAAGGAATCATGGATCCAAGCTATGTGGAGGGCATCCACATAGCTTGGATCTTTTGTAACATAAAACATAGCTTGTAAAGTAACACATAGCTTGATCTTTTGTAACTACCTTTGTAACATAAAAAAAAACCGATGTTACATTATACGAGCACCTCATACAGGAAACCAATAAAATCATTTGCAGTACGAGAGCGAACTCCGCCTTTTAAGAGCCACTCAATGTGTAAGACGGAGAGTTGTTGATTGTATCATTTGTGATTTGCCTGTTTGCAAAAAGCCCATCTTGTACCAAAATATTCATTTGTAAAAAATTCATTTGTCGACATCAAATTCTTTTTTCTTAGAAAATATTAACACTTTCACATTTTCAATTTTCACATTCACATTCAAACGACCGTTACCCGCTATCTTGAAAGCCACTGGTTGCAGCAAATTAGTGTTCGAGTTACTTCTCCTGATATCTAATGGATTTTCCATGATCTGCAATACGCAATTCAATGTACAATGTAAAAATTTTTTATGGAATGGTTGAAAGGTATGACATTTGAGCGCCACTCTGCATTTTGACATTTAGAATTTTGTAAATTTTGAAGAATTTTCAGTGCGAATGTGCAAACTTAATTCAGTGCAATCTTAATTGAGATATTGCAAGTGTTGCAAACTATTAAAAATTATTCTGATCTATTTTAACTAATCAACAATTATGCTAAGAAATGTAAATCAATTAATTAACAGTAATGAATCCTTTCATTAAGAGTTTTTTAGGAATATCTTAAAATTCTTTCCATGAGAGAATTATAAAGCTCAATTAGAATTTATTACAAAATTTAACAAACCTTTTCTCCAAGATGTTCAACTTCTATGTCCTTTTCTGGGCTTTCCTGCTTTACTTCCTCTTTCGGAGATTCTGACTTTTCTTCTGCAGTTTCCCCTGCAGAGAATATTTTTTCAATAACTTCCTTCTCAAGTTGAGGTTTTAAAGCCTTCTCTTCCGGTGATTCCTGTTTGACTTCCTCCTTAGGAGAATCCTTCTTTACTTCTTCTTTTGGTAACTTGAATTCTTCTTTTTTCGGTAATTCCATTTGCACTTCCTCCTGCGATGGAAATTTTACTTTATCCTTAATTGATTCTAACTCTTTAAGAGATTCTTGCTTTACTTCCCGCTCTGGGGATTTCGGTTTTTCTACTTCTTTCAGCGATTCTGATTTCACTTCCTCCTTCGGTGATGCAAGCTTTAGTTCCTTCTTCGGTGATTCCAGCTTTATTTCTGGGATTACATCTTCCTTCAGCGATTCGTATTTTGCTTCTTCCCTTGGTGACACCTGCATAACTTCTTCTCTGGGGGATAAAGGTTTCATGTCTTCCGTAGGAGATTCCGGCTTTACTTCCTCTTTAGGAAATTCAGGTTTCACTTCTTTCGGCGATTCTGGCTTAATTTCATCTTCAGGTGATGCTAATTTTCCTTCCTCTCTGGGTGATGTCGGCTTCACATCCTCCTCGGGTGATTCCAGCTTTACTTTTTCCTCTGTGGGTTCTGGTTTAATTTCCTCTTTAGGCGATAAAGACTTTAATTCTTCCTTGGGCAGTTCCTTCTTTATTTCCTCTAATGTTGGTTCTTTTCCCGTGTCTTCCGTTGGCTGCTCCAGCTCTACCTCAGCCTTAGGTGATTCTGGTTTTACTTCGTCCTTAGGCGACGGAAACTTTAATTCCTCCATTGGCTTTAGCTCTTCTTCTGGTAACTCCGCCTTTATTTCCTCCTCCTTTGGCGATTCTGTTTTAACTTTGTCCTTGGGTGATGTAGGCCTTACTTCCTCTCTGGGTGATGGTGGCTTTACATCTGCTTCCGGTGCTTCTGGTTTTCCTTCTTCCTTTGGTGATTTTGGTTTTATTTCTTCTTTTGGCGATGGTGGTTTTACTTCTTCCTTCGGTAGCTCCAGCTTTATATCTTCTCTTGGAGATTTCAACGTTGTTTCTTTCTTGGGCAAGGGGAGTTTTATTTCCTCTTTTGGTGACTCCCGCACTTTTTCTTCTTTTGGAGATTCTGATTTTAATTCTTCACTTGGCGGCACAGATTTTGTTTCTTCCTTTGGGAATTCTAGCTTCATTTCTTCTTTTATTGCTTCCGGCTTTGCTTCTTTTTCGGGGGATTCTGCTTTTAATTTCTGCATTGGTAGTTCCGGCTTAGGTTCTTCCGTCAGCAATTCCGATTCTTCTACCTCCTTGGGCGATGAAAGAATTACTTTTTTAGCCATTTCTAGTTTTATTTCCTCTTTTGGAGATTCAGGTTTCAGTTCCTCTTTTGGCGATTCTGCTTTCACTTTTTGTTTTAGCAGTTCAGGTTCAGCTTCCAGCATCGGTGATCCTGCCTTTACCTCTTTTTTGGGAGACGTCAACATTCCTTCTTCCAGTAGTGATTCTGGCTTTACTTCTTCCTTCGGGGATTCTGATTTATCCTTTGGTGATTCTAGTTTTTCTTCTTCCCTTGGGGCTTCGGATTTAACTTCCTGTATTGGTGACACATCGCCTTTGGGTAATGCTCGCATTAACTCTTCTTTCGGCGATTCTAGCTTCACCTCTTTCTTCGGTGATTCTGCTGTTATATCTTCTTTTAGTGGCGGTAATTTTGCCTCTTCCTCCGCCGGTGAAACTAATATTACTTCCTCTCTGGGTGATAACGGCTTCATTTCCTCTTTTGGCGTTTCGAACTTTACTTCTTCCATCGGAGATTCTGGTTTTGCTTCTTCCTTGGGCGATGGAGACTTTATTTTCTCCTTAGACAATTCATGTCCTACTTCTTTAGAAGATTCCGGTTTTATTTCATCCTTTGGCGATTCTGGTATTACTTCCTCCTTAGGCGATACTGGCTTTATTTCCTCTTTGGGTGATGCTGCTTTTATTTCCTCTTTTGGCGTTTCAGGTTTTACACCTTCTATGGATGATTCTAGTTTTGTTTCTTCTTTGGGCGATGAAAGCTTTATTGTCTCCTTAGGCGATTCGAGTTTGATTTCTTCTTTCGGAGGTTCTGGCTTTGCTTCCACCTTCGGTGACTCTGGTTTAGCTTCTTCCTTCGGCGATGGAGGATTTATTTCTTCTTTAGGAGATTCAAGGCTTAATTCCCCCTTCGCCGATTCTAGTTTAACTTCTTCCTTGGGAGATGCTGGGCTTTCTTCCCCTTTTTGGGATACTGGCTTTATTTCTTCTTTCGGAGATTCTAGCTTTACTTCCTGCTTTGGTGACTCTGGTTTAGCTTCTTCCTTCGGCGATAGAGGCCTTCTGTCCTCTTTAGGAGATTCAGGTCTTACTTTCTCCTTCGCCAATTGTAGTTTAACTTCTTCGTCGGGAGATGCCAGCTTTATTTCTTCTTTGGGGGATACTGGCTCTATTTCTTCTTTCGGAGATTTTACCTTTAATTCACCCTTTAGTAACTCTGCTTTGGCTTCTTCCTTCGGCGATGGAGGTTTTATCTCGTCTTTAGGAGTTTCAAGCCTTATTTCCTCCTTCGGCGATTCTAGTTGTTCTTCTTTTGGGGATGCTGGCTTTATTTTTTCTTTCGGAGATTCCGGTTTGACTTCCTTCTTTGGTGACTCCGGTCTTGCTTCTTCGTTCGGAGATGGTGGCTTTGTTTCAGCTTTAGGCGACTCGGGCATTACTTCATCTTTTGGAGATTCCGGTGTAACTTCCTCCTTGGGTAGTAAAGGCTTTACTTCCTCTTCGGGTAATGCCGGCTTTATTTCCTCTTTTGGCGTTTCAGGCTTTACTTCCTCTTTGGGTGATTCTAATTTTGTTTCATCTTTAGGCGATGGAGGCTTTAGTTTCTCCTCCGGCGATTCAAATTTTAATTCTTCTTTTGCAGGCTTTATTTCCTCCTTTGGTGACTCTAGCATAACTTCTTCCTTCGGCGATGGAGGCTGTATTGCCTCTTTAGGAGATTCAGGTTTTACTTCCTCCTTCGATTCCTGTTTAGCTTTCTCCTCCGAAGATGCCGGTCCTACCTCCTCTTTGGGGGATACTGGCTTTATTTCTTCTTTCGGAGACTCTAGCTTTACTTTTTCTTTTGGTGACTCTGGTTTGGCTTCTTCCTTCGGCGATGGAGGTTTTATTTCCTCTTCAGGAGATTCAGGTTCGGGCATTACTTCATCTTTTGGAGATTTCGGTGTAACTTCCTCCTTGGGTAAAAAAGGCTTTACTTGCTCTTCGGGTAATGCCGGCTTTATTTCCTCTTTTGGCGTTTCAGACTTTACTTTCTCTTCCGGTGATTGCAGTTTGTTTTCTTCTATGGGCGATGGAGCCTAATTTTCTGCTTAGGCGATTCGGGTTTTATTTCTTCTTTAGGAGACTCAGGTTTTATTTCCTCCTCCGGCGATTCTCGTTTAACTTCCTCCTTGGGTGATTCCGGTTTCACTTCCTCTTTTTGTGAATCCGGCTTAATTTCTTCTTTCGGAGATTCCGGCTTTACTTCCTCCTTTATTAATTCTGGTTTGGCTTCTTCCTTAGGACATGGAGCCTTTGTTTCCTCTTTAGGTGATTCTAGCTTTATTTTTTCTTTCGTCGATTCTGCTTTAATATCCTCCTTCGGGGATGGCGGCATTATTTTCTCTTTGGGTGATTCAGGTTTTAATTCTTCTTTAGGTAATTCAAGTTTTGCTTCTTCCTTAGGAGACTTCAGTTTTGCTTCCTTCTCTGGCAATTCCACTTTTTCATACTTCGGCGATTCTGGTTTAATTTCCTCCTTTACTAATGGCGGTTTTACCTCCTCTTTGGGTGATGCCGATTTTATCCCTTCTTTCGGTGATTCCAACTTTACTTCCTCTTTTGGTGACTCTGGTTTGGCTTCTTCCTTCGGCGATGGAGGTTTTATTTCCTCTTTAGGAGATTCAAGTCGTACTTCCTCCTTTGCCGATTTTAGTTCAACTTCCTCTTCGGGAGATGCCGGCCTTAATTCCTCTTTGGGGGATGCTGGCTTTATTTTTTCTTTCGGAGATTCCGGTATTATTTCCTTCTTCGATGACTCTGGTTTTGCTTCTTCCTTCGGCGATGATGGCTTTGCTTCAGCCTTAGGCGATTCGGGCTTTGCTTCTTCTTTAAGAGATTCCGGTGTAACTTCCTCCTTGGGTAATAAAGGCTTTACTTGCTCTTCGGGTAATGCCGGCTTTATTTCCTCTTTTGGCGTTTCAGACTTTACTTTCTCTTCCGGTGATTGCAGTTTTGTTTCTTCTATGGGCGATGGAGCCTTAATTTTCTCCTTAGGCGATTCGGGTTTTATTTCTTCTTTAGGAGACTCAGGTTTTATTTCCTCCTCCGGCGATTCTCGTTTAACTTCCTCCTTGGGTGATTCCGGTTTCACTATCTCTTTTTGTGAATCCGGCATAATTTCTTCTTTCGGAGATTCCGGCTTTACTTCCTCTTTTATTGATTCTGGTTTGGCTTCTTCCTTAGGACATGGAGCCTTTGTTTCCTCTTTAGGTGATTCTAGCTTTATTTTTTCCTTCGTCGATTCTGCTTTAATATATCCTCCTTCGGGGATGGCGGCATTATTTTCTCTTTGGGTGATTCAAGTTTTGCTTCTTCTTTAGGAGACTTCAGTTTTGCTTCCTTCTCTGGCAATTCCGCTTTTTCATACTTCGGCGATTCTGGTTTAATTTCCTCCTTTACTAATGGCGGTTTTACCTCCTCTTTGGGTGATGCCGATTTTATCCCTTCTTTCGGTGATTCCAACTTTACTTCCTCCTTCGGTGACACTGGTTTTGCTTCTTCCTTTGGAGATTCAGGCTTTCCTTCTTTTATAGGAGATTCCGGTTTTTCCTCCTTGGGGAACTGTAGTTTAATTTCCTCCTTTGGTGATGCTGGCTTAATTTCTTCCTTCGGTGATTCCGGCTTTACAGCTTCTACCAGGAATTGTGGTTTTTCTTCCTCTTTGATCGACGAAGACGCTACTTTCTCTTTAAGCGTTTCGGGTTCTACCTGCTCTTTATGGGATTCTGGTTTTACTACTACTTCTGGTTTAACTTTCTCTTTGGGTGATGAAGGCTTTATTTCCTCTTTTAACAGTTCCGTTTTTACTTCTTCCTTTGGTGATAATGGTGTTACTTCTTCCTTGGTCGAGGGAGTTTTTTCCTTAGGTGATTCGAGTTGTATTTCTTCTTTAGGTGTTTGCGGCTTTTCTTCGTGCTTTGGTAATTCTGGTCCTGCTTCTTCCCTGGGCGATACAGGCTGTATTTGTTCCCCAGGCAATTCGGGTTTTACTTCCTCTTTAGGAGATTCCAATTTTGCTTCTTCCTTTGGCATTTCCGGTTTGATTTCTTCCGAACTTACTTCCTCTTTAGGAGATTCCAATTTTGCTTCTTCCTTTGGCATTTCCGGTTTGATTTCTTCCGAACTTACTTCCTCTTTAGGTGAGGCCTGCTTTATTTTTTCCTTCGGTGATTCTGGCTTCATTCCCACCTCTGGTGTTTCTGACTTTGCTTTTTCCTTGGGTGATACAGCCGTTATTTTCTCCTTAGGGGATTCGGGTTTTATTTCCTCCGTAGGAGATGCAGCTTTTACTTCTTCCTTAAGCGATTCTGGTTTCACTTTTTCTTTCGGTGTCTCCGGTTTAAATTCCTCTTTAGGTGATATAGTCCGTACTTCATCTTTAGGTGATGCCGGCTTTATTTGTTTTTTCGTCAATTCCGGCTTTCGTTCCTCCTGTAGAGATTCTGGTTCTAAATCTTCTTTCGGCGATGCTGTCTTTATTTCTTCCTTTGGTAATTCTGCCTTTACGTCTTCTTTTGGGAATGTCGACTTTGCTTCGTCCTTGGGCGATGGGAGTTTCATTTCCTCTTTCGGTAATGCCGGCTTGACTTCCTCCTTCGGAGATTCTGGTTTTATTTCTTCCTCTGACGACACTGGTTTTATTTCTTCCTTTGGCACTTCCGGCTCTACATCTTTTTGTGATTTAACTTTGACATCCTCCTTAGGAGATTCTGGTTTTATCTTTTCTTTCGGCGACTGCAGTTGCACTTCTTTTGGATATTCTGGTTCTATTTCCTCCTTGGGTGATAGAGGTTTTGCTTTTTCCTTAGGCGATTCAAGTTCCTCCTTTACCAGTTCCAGTTTTACCTCTTCTTCCAACACTTCCGGTCTTATTTCTTCTTTAGGTAATGCTGGTTTTAATTCCTCCTTTGGCATATCTGGTTTTACTTCTTCTTTTGGTGACTCTGCTTTTATTTGCTTCTCACGTAACATCGGTTTCATTTCTTCCTTTGATATTTCCTGTTTTACTTCCTCTTTCAGGGATTCTGGCTTCATATCTGTTTCTGTTATTGCGCCTAATTCCTCATCTTCTTTGATTGATAAACATTTTCGTTTTACTAATTTTATGATTTCTTCGCGGTATTCGGTGAGATAAGTTATAACAATTTTTTTACTTGGGTATATATTCTTTTTAATAAGTTCTTCACATGCCGTTTCTAAGATAATTTCTTCACAGTTTTCTTTCGCAATACCTTCTATAGTGGATTGTTTTACAATAACTGATAATACTTTTTCATCTTCTGGTGTTATTTGATTTTTGATATCCTCTACAGATATGTATTCTTTGAGAGGCGAAATTACTCGTTTCTCTACAGATTTTTCTCTTTCCTCTTTACGAGATAAATATTTCCCCCTTATTATTGTTATAATTTCTTCGCGATATTCTGTAAGGTATATCATAACTACTTTTTTACTTATTGTCATGTTCTTTTTCCTAAGCTCTTCGCATACAGTTTCTAGAATTATTTCTTCAGACTCTTCTATCGACAGGTCTTCCAAGCCAGTGTTTTTGATTAAAAGAGATAATAACTTTTTGTCTTCGACTGTCATTTCGTTTTTGATTTCAGCAATTGGAATATGTTCTTCAGGAAGAGAAATTTCCGCTTCTTCTAATTTTGGTTCCATACCCTCTTTAGGAGGTAAATATTTTTTTATTACGGCAGTAATAATTTCTTCACGATATTCAATCAGATATATCATAATTACTTTTTTAGTTATTGACATGTTCTTTTTTGTAAGCTCTTCGCACACAGTTTCTAAAATAATTTCTTCTCTATCTTCTTCCGACAGCCCTTCCAAGTCAACATCTTTGATGAAAAGAGATAGCACATTTTTATCTTCCATTGTCAGTTCTTTTCTGATTTCCGAAACAGAAATTTGTTTTGCGAGAAGAGGAACTTCTACTGTAACTTCTGGTTCCAAATCCTCTTTACCAGATGCATATTTTCTTCTCACTATTGTTATAATTTCTTCCCGATATTCAATGAGGTATATAATCACCACTTTTTTACTTATTGTCATGTTGTTTTTAGTGAGCTCTTCGCAGATACTTTCTAAAACATAGTTTACGCAATCTTTTTCTGAAACATTTTCTAAATTAATATCCTTGATGAGAGCCGATAGTAATTTTTCCTCATCTGGAGTCATTTGTTTAGTGAGATCCTCAATGGATATATGCTCTTCTACAGAAGTTTCCCTTTCAGAAGGTAAAATATGCTTGTCAACGCTTACTTTTTCTTCTAATGTAGAGAGTTCTGGACTAATTTCTTCCTTTGTAACTACTGTTTCATCTTTTTCAATTTCTTTAATAAAATGTTTCCTTTTAATTATTTTTATGATCTCTGTTCTGAACTCTTTTACATAATTCGATACACTTTGCTGCGTATGAGGAATGCCTTTATCCAAAATTTCTTCACGAATAATGTTGAGGATGACTTCTTCAACATTTTCCATGTCAGCCTTTTCTTTTTCCATTTCAATTTCTTTAACTATAGAATACATTATGCTTAAAGCATCTTCTGTCAAAAAGTTTTTTACTTGACTTATTGTTAGAGTTTCAGATATTTCTGCAACTTCTTTTCGGATTTTAAGTTTTTCCTCAAAGACCTGCTTTTTCAATAGATATCTTTTATTAATAAGTTTTACAATTTCGATTCTGAATTCAGTAATATATTTCAATACTGCCTTTTTCTCTATTGGAATGTCTTTATTTCGAATTTCCTCGTATAATGTTTCAAGGAAAAAGTCTGTGTATTCATCTTCTAAAATCTCCTCTGCAGGCACTTCTGTAGGCTCGAAAATTTCTTTCATGATGTCTGGAGTAATGTAGTTTTTTATTTCTTGAATAAAGGCTTCCTCTTGTAGTGTTATTTCTGTCTCCGCTTCTTCCTGCTCAATACTTTCTTCTTTCTTGGCAATTTCCTTTTCTTCTGCAATTTCTTCTTTGATGAATTCCTCTTTAACTATTCCTTCCTTTTCTCTAACTTCCTCTTCAGTGATTTCTGCTCCTAAGACAGATTCTCCTTTTTCTTTCGCAATTTCCTCTTCTTTGACGACTTCCTCTTTTTCTTTTGCAATTTCATCTTCTCTCAGTATTTCCTCTTTGTCTTTTCCAGCTTTTCCTTTTTCTTCAATAATTTCTTCTTGTTCTGAAATTTTTTCTATTTTTTCTTTGACGACTTCTTTTTCCTTCGCAATTTCTTCTACTATTTCCTCTTCTTGAGGAAGTTTCTCCTTTTCTTTAGCAATTTCCTCTTCTCTGGCTATTTCTTCTTTTGTAATATCTTTTTCTTTTGTGACAATTTGCTCCTCTTTGGTGATTTCTTCTTTTTCTTTTGTAATTCCTTTTTCTTGAATAGTTTCCTCTCCTTTAGAAATTTCTTCTTTTTCTTCCTCTTTGGCAATTTTTTCTTTCATAATTTCTTTTTCTTTGACAACTTCTGTTTTTTTAACTTCTTCCTCTTTTTCTTCTGTAATATCTTCCTTAAGAACTTCCTTCTCTATTTTTGCTATCTCTTCTTCCTTTACAATTTCCATTTCTTCGATTACTTCTTCTTTTTGTTTTTCAATTTCTTCTTTTTTAGTAATGACCTCTTTTTCTTTTGCAATTCCTTCCTTTTCTTCGTCAGTTTCTTTTTCTTTGATGATTCCTTCTACTACTTTTTCTTGGACAATTTTTTCTTTTTCGTATGCAATTTCCTCTTCTCTGGGAATTTCTTTTTCTTTTACAACTTCAGCTTCCTCGACAATTTCCTTTTCTTCTTTTGCAATTTCCTCACCTTTCACGATTTCCGTTTTTTCTTTTTCAATTTCTTTGACTATTTCTTCTTTGCCTATAAGGTACCTTTTGAGAATAATTGTGACAATTTCAGTTCTGTACTCAGTAATATATTTTGATATTGTTTCCTTAGAGGGTGATACTGCTTTCTTTTGTAATTCATCCAATGCAGTTTCCACTATAATTTCTTCAATATCGTCCAATGTCATTTCTTCTGCTTTAATATCTTGAACTAACAGATTTATGTCTTTGCTACTACACAGAGATAAATATTCCTTTATCATCTCTTTGCTTAATTCTTTTTTAGGAATTTCCTCTTGTATTTCTTCTGGTGTAACGCGTTCCTCTACTACTTCCTCCACGACAGAAATTTCTTCCTTAGGCAATGGCAGCTCAGCTTTTTCCTCTAACGCTTCTTCATCTGCTCTCTCTATAATTTCTCCAGTCTCTTCCTGACTCTCTTTGTATCTTTTGATTGTATATTCTACAATTTCTATCTTGTATTCCGAAATGTATTTTGCCACAGAAGGTTTACTTAATGGAACATTTTTACTTTTTATTTCTTCGCATATAATTTGTAGAACTGCACTTTCATAATTTTCAAGAATAACACCTTCGTTTTTAATATTTTCAATAATCAAATGCACATACGTTTCTGCGTCTGGTGTCAGATATTCTCTTAATTTAATAGAAGAAATATCATCTGGTAACATTTCTTTTTCTAGTGATATTTCTTCAGGAGTAGACGTTGGGCTTTCAGCTTTAAGTTTTTCCGTTTCGCTTTCTTCAACAATACCTACAACATCTTCAGGTTTTTCTGCAATCTCAGCTTCTATTTCTTCTTTGCTAATTACTTCTGGAGCTTCTTGCGCTTGCAAATCGGTTGGGAGTTTAGCTTTGGATTCTTCTATTTCTGTTCTCATTCCTTCTATAAGTTCATCAACTGCGGCTTCTACTGCTTCTATTTCTTTAACTACTCTTTGTTCGTCAAAAATTTCTTTCCCTTCCGTAATTTCTTTTTCAGTAAGCGCTGCCTCCTCTTTAACAGCTTCTTTTTCTTCTATCAACTCCTTTTGCTTGTCTTCCTCGGTTAATATTTCGGACGGAATTTCTTCATGTGCACGTTTTATGTCTACTATTTCTGGTTTGGCTTCTCTTGGACTGGATGGAGCTTCTTCTTCTTTCGGAACTTCTGCTTCTTCTTGTGAGATCATTTCAGCTGGACTTGATAATTCGGACGGAATGTGTTCTTCAGCTGGCACAATTGGTCCCTCAGCTTCTGGCACTGTAACCTTTGCGATATCTTCAGATACGGACGGAGTAACATCTTTTGCTTTTTCAGGTCTCTTAACAGGCTTGGGTTTAATTTTTTCTTTGGATGGTTTCGGTGGTCGTGCTGCTGCTAATGTAGGAGGCTTGGGTTTCTTCTTTGGAGATGCAAGAGGTAGTTTTTCTTTAGGTTTTTTAATAGGGCTTTTGGGAATAACAGGTGAAATCTTAGATTTACTTACCTCGAGCGTTTTGGCGCTAATTTTACTTTCGGCAACTCTTTTGTTAACTACATCTTTTATCCCCTTAGTTTTAACTTCTGTTACTTCCGTTTTTGGTGAAACTTTTAATGTTGTAGGAGGTTTAATATCTTTCGCAAGTTTGGTATCTTTTACTTTAGCTGCTTTCGAAGGAATTACCTTCGTTGGCGTTTCCGCAGGACTACGAATATCACGCGGTTTTAGCATTGGTTTAACAGGCTTAGCTGGTAATTTAATTTCCTTTTCTGGTATTTTGTCTTTTCTTACAATTGTCTTACGAGTATCAGTTTCTTTGCGTACTTTAGTTTTTGCCACTTTAACCCCGGGTGATGATATGGTGGGTTTTGCAGTCGCTGGCGCTTTACCTGCTAGTTTAGGCTTTTTAGGCACCTTTTCTGAAGCACCTTTTTTCAAGACTTTTATGCCTGTTTCAGCTATTATTTCAGGTTTTTCAACTTCTTCATCTGCTTTTAAGTCCTTTTCAACTATGGGCGAAGGTGATTTAAATAATTCAGTGTCCTCTTCTTTTTCCTTTATTTCCGGTTCAAGTTGTTCTACTGATGGCTTTATTTCTGTTTCTTCCTCTGGTTTTTCTAACTGAAGAACAACATCTTTTTCTGCTTCCTTAATTTCTGATTCAATGTAAGGTGTTTCTATCTTAAGTTCAGATTCAATTTCTTTTGGTTTTTCCTTTTCTTCCATTTCTAGTTTTTCCTTCTCTTCCATTTCCAGTTTTTCCCTCTCTTCCATTTCTAGTTTTGCTTTTTCTTCATATTCTTCTATTTTTTCATCTAAAGATGCTTTTACACTTTTTTCTGCTTCAGATAATTTTTCGTGTTCGTCTATTTTTAATGCAATTTTTTCTTCTTCCAATTTTTTAAACTCACCATCTTTAACCTCGCCTTCAACTTTTTCAGCTTCTTCGTCTTCAGGCTCAGACAATTTTTCTGCTTCTTTTATTTCTGTCTGGGTGACGATTTCTTCTGGACTTTCATCTTTTTCTTGTTTTGTAGGCATATCTGCTATTACTACTTCTCCAGCAGCTCTTTGCTCTTTAATTTTGGTACTTTTCTTCACAACCCTTTTACCTGACACTTTCAACTCTTTAGATACGACTTTTTTGGCAACTATATCTTCTCTGGCAGCAATTAACTTCTTCTCCTCTGCTTTCTTCGTTGATTTTTTAATTCTTCTGACTGGCGAGCTTGTCAGTCCTTTTACTGGTGATTCTGCCCTTTTCTTAATTATTTTCTCATCTGCATCTCTAACAGCCTTCACTGGGGAGGACGGCCGTATCATTTCAGCTTTCTGTTTGAGAACTGAAGTTTTCATTATATGTTTCCTGGTTGTCTTTACTTTCACTCGCTCTTCGTATTTGATTCCTAACGATAACTGACTGCATGTTCTATACTTAAGTTCATCTAAATGCTTTAAATGCTCAAGACCTTCAAATATCCTATTTTGAGGCGCACTTCCTGGTAAAAGTACCCTCGTTATAGTATCCGCAGGATCCGAAGGTTTCCATATAAGAAGAGCGCATATAGACATAGCATGAGATAAAGGTATAGAAAATTCTTTCTCATCATCTCTCTTTCTTGACGCAAAATGCTCCTTGACTGAAGTCCACTGCTGAAAAAAGAGCTTCATCTCCTTGCTATCTTTCGGTGGGCTTAAAACGTACATTTCTAGAGTGCCATGTCCTACTTTATGAAAGAGAGTTAATGGTTCGACTAGGGAATCTCGGAGACATCGGTGAGGTTTCATACCTAACTGGTGGAGGTTTTCGGTAAATTCGTGACCTTCACGTATGACACTTACTAAAAGGGGATCTCTGTCTATTCCGGATTCACCGGGACTAGCTGGGCTCTGCTTGCCTTCTGCTACGTTGCAAAAGACATAGCCTACTTGAGGATAAACTCGTTTTCCTTCCATTTTTCGACGAATGACGTTCGTGATGCCGCAAACGTTATTCTCGTTGAGTCGTGTTATCATGATGGCATCTAGGCGGTCCAGATGCCGTATAAATTCCCAGAAACAGGGTTTTCGATTGAAACCGCCATCTATCAGCATTGTGAAACCACTTACTCCAAACAGAGCGCAGTCCCCTTGACCTCCCGGAAAAATATAAAGAGTTGGTCTATTGAAACGGATATTTCCTACAACGGGAGAGGATTTCATCATTTCCGTTAGGGGTTGAGATCTTAAAACAGAACCTAAAAAGTCTAAGAGGAAGTTGGATCCTGGAACGGCTGACACTTTCTTGGCAGGATTGACACATAGAGACTCGTGCATTCGGGTCAGGGCATTTTCGTCTTCTTTAAAGGCCCATGGACCTTCTGGTATGCAATGCACATGAATTGTGCATCCAGGATGGCGTCTAAGCTCTTTCTGGACATCAGCATCTTGCAGAGTATCCAGAAAATCGTCGTATGAGAAGCTGCCATCTTGAAGAATCCAAGATCCCGTTCCGGTAAAGGCATAGCCTGCATGTATCACGTGCTTATGACCAACATTGGCAGCTAAAAGGTTCTTTAAGCATTGTTTTAGGGTACTAACTTGAGGATTGAGTAATACTTCAACTGCGAGGTTCTCCGTCGAGTGTTGGATGAGTAATTCTGAAAGGGAAAAAAACATAAAACTTTGAAATAAAGTTATTTCAAGTAAAACATTGTTATTTGTAAATGTAATTAACATCAATATTATTAAGATTGCTATTAACATTATTATTTATAAACTTTATTGCATAAAAGTATTTATTATAGTTTAAGTAAGGGAATTTACAAAAATCATAACTTTTTCTGGAAACTTTAATGTGAAAATTTAATTCACTTGAAACGAGAAAAAAGAAATTATATTAATATAAATTATAGAGGATATACCTGTAAATAAATATAAGTCTTGCCAAATCCTCAAATTGACGTGTAAGCGACTTATCGATATGTCTAATATGAATAGAAGCGTAAGAAGGATGCAAAAGGTCCTTTTATTTAAAATTAAGTAAGCTGAATAGAAGGCACACTTGTTGTTTACAAATTATCCAGCATTAGTTGCGTGAAGTCAAGATGGAATTTTAAATTAAAACTAAATCTACATTTCTATTAGCCAAAGGCTACGCAGAGTAATTGAAATGCTTAAGTAATTGGCTCTTAAGCACACACCGGCACTAACGGCAAAAATAAAGGAACGCCGTAGACAGGAACTATCTTAGAATAAAAACTAAAAACATGGCCGAAGGCCATGTTGGCCTTCAGCAGGGAGAAAACGCTCTGACTAAACAATCCCAAACCTTCACTTAAATACATGCGAGCTAATTTGCCTTCTGGCAAGAAAACGGAAAGAAAGAAGTGTCAGTACAGATTCGGAACATAAAATAACTGGTTAATTAACGTAAATAAATCTTACAAAGTTCTAATCGTAAAGAATGCTGATTCAGATTTAAACCAGCTTAAAATACAAAATATACATAACATCATTTCTTTATTGGTATTAAAATTTTAATTGATAAGACGATCATAAGTTCAATTTCACAAAAATATTATGTAAATAAGAAAATACCGGGTACTTTTGCGTGTAAAGAAACTGAAATATTATGAACATGAAATTTCTAAATCTGGAATGTGTCTAAACGTATATTTTTTTTACAATTACCTAGTAACCTAATTTTGATCGAAGATAACTCTTAGAGAATGATACCAATTTCTCACTGAAAACAGCTTTCTGAAGGAAATTTCGAAATGTCGAATATTAAGTGCATTTATCTAACTCTTGAATCTAAAACCGTGAAAATCATACGATTCTACCACAGGTAAGTGTTACATCTGCAACAAAAAAGCACCAGGAATGATTAAATTAAGTGAGTGCAACAAATTGCTTGCGAAGTTTCTGAGAAGTTGATACAACTTTTTTTGAAACACTTCCTTTTGCTGTTTGCAGATAAATTCCTTCTTAATGAAAAATAAATTTTTGTTTTGGTGATTTCCCAAAATGGCGAATGTAATTAAGTAAAGAAGATGCACTAATTTTTTTAATAGAATTTATGATATAAGATGCTTAAAATATTGTAAATTTTTCGTAATTAAGAACAATAGCTCAGGAATGGCATGAGATGTTTAAGGAAAGCAGAAAATGCATTACAGATGAATCATGGTCTGTTAGATAGTCCACTTCGATTAATGAGCAATATATCGATGTCAGAGATTTGGTGCTTAGCAATCGTTGTTTAACAATTCAGGATATTACTGAACAATTTTTTGCATCCACTTGAATGAATTTGCTGATGCAATGAAGGAAGGCTCTCTCCGGTTCCTGAGCGGGCTTCATGAAAACAACTAGGACATATTTCGAGGATTAGAAAAAATGTTGGCATAACTTCATCGCTCTCGAATGGGATTACTTTAACAAAATGCAATAAAAACTACTATGCAATAAATTGAAACTTATATGTCATGGTATAATTTCCGATACTTTCTGATTGCAGAAACATATGGTGTTAGAAACATCTTTTATCAATTAAAATAAATGCTGCAAATGATGATAAAAATTATCATTTAGATATGTTATAAATTAAACATATTTAAAATTATATTAGACAGATTATTAAAAGAAACCTAAGGTTACTGTCAATGCCGGTGATGATCAGGGAGCTAAGACGTAATGATCGCCGGTGTAATATAGCACAATAAAATGATCATGGAATGCCCTTATTCCTTTTAAATCGCTCAGCTCGTAAAACCACTACAGAATGCTAATGGAATAAAAATCTGAAAGCTTTTAGATTTTATATTACACACAAACGGGCGTTTTTTCCATTTACAGACCCATTTTCGACATCTTTTGAGCTAAACATAATATTTGGTGACAAGATCCTGCAAAGTGATACAGCCTTTTATAGTGATTCGATGGAAAATGTAGTTTCGAGGCTAATCGCCCTTCTGGACTAACCCACTTTGGGTTAAAAAGACAAAAAACATTGCTCACCGATGATCTTCTAAAACCAATACGATACAACTGACTTCTTTATAATGAGTAACATACGATCTGAATAATTTTGAATTGCTAATCTCTTTCTATTTTCGGAACCCTACAATTTCTTTTTCTACATAAGACCCTATAGATGTATGTACTCAATAGCATTCACAGATGGATTAAAAATAGATGAAGAAATGCAACTTATCCCCCACAAAGCGAAAATCTAATAACATTCTGGAAAGTATGCCTGCGCTCAAAAAATACAATTCTATACGCATAGAGGGCAATAGAAAGCGCAATTAATAATAAATGAAATCAACTCATGATCCATTGAGGCTCATTGGTTTAATAGCTTTTACATTTAATAGCTACCTATATTTCATTGCTTCATTTCGCTTCACGGTAGAAAATTAAAATTTCTCTTCTGGTGACAGCACATGCAGGTATTAGTAGAAAGGGGATGACGACTCTTTTGCTAATCGCAAATGTTGAATCCGATTCTGAAGTAATGAGCATAAAATGGGCAATGTCATACCTAAGCAAAAGAAACATACATCCAAAAAGTCAAATTTGACAGGACGAATGGACCTCTGCACCTCAAGGCAGAAGAATATGCCGTATACGCTCAAGTAATGTCCGCACCTTTTTTACGAAAATTACATCACTAAAATATAGGTGCGGACATTACATGGGATCATTCAAATGTCGCGATTTTTCTCGTGAGTAATTTTGGGTGTAAATTTAATTTCAAACAGCCAAGTTAAGTTCTAAGAAAAGGGCATACGCAATAAAAGTATCAAATTTAAAGTTGTCTAATAGCTACCCTAAAATTTACAAATTCACTTTCTCCCATCCACATATATAATATAAATTATCCTGTTTACATTGTGAACACTCGGCGCATATTAGTTCGCACAGGAGCACAATATAGAGGCACAAATTAGCTAACACTTGCAATTTTAATATTTACTTTTACACAAATTAAATAAACGTTTGGTTCTTTTAATAGCTTGCACACATTATTTTTAAAAAAGATCTGTTCTGACGCACTGTATGAAAATTTTGGTTGTTATGTCTGCGTGTGCAAATGTAAAATCTTTCTGCTGCAAACAGTAGCATAAAAATACAAAAGATGGCAGGCATTGCAGGCACTGTAGTGTCAGCCACATAGTGGAGAATCAGTGAGCGGTATTATTTCTAATTTCAAACTAACTGAAAAAAAAAAGGCATTGTGAATGCACTCAGTATATGAGTGCAAATAAATTAATCAGTAAACAATTTTTTATCTCACCTTTATTTCGTCCTTGGAAATAATTTCCAATTGCATCGGCACACAGTAATTGTTAACAGTATTGTTAATTAATACAATTATTATTGTTAATTAATACAATAACTATTAACAATACTGTTAATAGAATTAACAGTATTGTTAATTCTATTAACAGTAATTGTTAATAGAATGCGTACACATTAGATATTAAAACTCAAATTCTTATCAGTTTTTAAAAATTTATCACGTTATCCTTCCAAAGAGATCATCTTGTGTTCCATCCAAAAACATTTGATATACCAGTTACTTTAAAACGTTTCACAAAATTCTACCGTCGAATATGCTTTTCCAAGCAGCAATAATCCACGCACACACTTCCGAGATGGATGCCCTTTTCGGACGTCCAGCTGCATTGGTCCCTCCCACCCGCGGAAGTCATCCAAATACGGTAGCTCCGTTTGAATGCCATTTTAAATGGCTTGTTTATACAAACAGAAGAATGGAAGTTGACTCCTGGAATCACAGCAAGATCAGTTCGTGAGGTTTCAAGATTTTATTTCACTTTATTTGATATTCACATTTAGTGAGATGCCCTTTGAAGCTGTCCCACATGAGAAGAGAAGGTAGCTATAACAGAGCTCCAGGTCTTTTATACCACACACTCTGTAGCCAGTCCTGAACATTCCGTCCTCCCTTTCTCTTGAACTCGTACCACAATTCCTTGTGGCAGTTTTTCTTTCGGCATTGTTTTTCGCTTAAAAACTATGTACGGCGGAAGTTTTTTTGCCATCGGCAGTAACTGCTAACATAAGAGTCGCTCTTTGTTTTTCATATCCGCATGTGCGTATGGGTACAGATCTTGCACTGTACCCATACGCCCATACCCGTTCATTTAGGGTGTAATTGTCTGGAGCATCAAAATAAACTGGCGTCTGACTGGCATTCGCAATTTGTGAAGCTAAATAATGATTCGCTTTGCGCTTCGCGATAATGAAGCGATGAAAGGACATAAAATCATCCTCACAGTCACTGGGCAATTTTTGACATATTTTCGTACTCCGGCGAAACAAAAACTCATTTCGTTTCATCATTCACCGCAACCAGCCTTCACTCTCCTTGAATTGCGATGTAGGAATGTCTTCTTCTCGTGCTGCAGCAAGCGCTCTTATTTTGCACATTTCCCGTGTTACTGCGTACCCTTCAGCACGCATATCACGAACATACGCAACTACGTTTTTTTCGAAGTTCGGAAACTTACATTTCGAACCACGAAACGCACGTATTATTTTGTTCGTTGCCGCATGTTGATTACGTTGTTTGCTCGAATTTCGCACATACTTTTTGTCCACCTTATATACTCTTGCTGCTGCTCTTTTT